AACTACAATTATTGTATTATTTTATCTTAAAAATAATTGGTGTTATCCCTTGAAAATTAGTCAAATTTTGTTTTTAATGAAAACATAAACTGTTTAGTTTATGAATAAGATGATCTATCTACAAAAATGACCGGTCAATAACAACTTTTGTACTAATGTTTTAAAAGATATAAGTATTTTTATACCATGGCGGAAGGGGTAGTGCAGTTTATAAAGGGAAAGATAAAATAAAACAGGCCTGCGCTTCGCATTCAGCTATTACTTTAAATTGATGATAACTTCCGAAATACTGATACAAAAGTTGTTGACGATCATCAATTTTATTAGATGCATCATAGTCTAGATTGAAGATCGGTTAAACATGTATGTTTCTATTAAAAAGACTAAGTTGACATGATTTTAAAGTGGAAGGAGGCGATAGAACTGTTTTTGAACATTTTAGAACGTAGGATATTATTATCTTCTGAAAAGAAAAAGTATTATATTTTCAAAGATATTGCGTAAGTCATAGTTAAACAATCACCCTGTGTATTGATTTATAAATTTTTAAAAATAATGACGATTACTTGTCAACTGTTGTTTAAATTGACGTGAATATCTACTACAAGTTTTTGTTAAACGTTTGCAATCGGATGTAACTTTGAAAATTTTATATAATCACTTGTCTGTTTAAAATTCGTATGGAGGAATTTTTCATTTTTAATCATTACTTTTAGATCGTGTGAAAACCAAATTAGAATGTTATTACTGCTCAAATAAAATGTCGAACATATTTTTCAAGATATTATGAACCTAATAATATAAGTTATTTACTGTCATTTCTATAAATAAACTATCTACTCCATTCTATCGATGAAAGAAATAGGCATTACTAAATTAATATACTCTATTTACATTTGTGTTTGATACATTAGAAAAAAAAAGATCAAATTAAAAAACAACTGCGTTAAAAAACGTATTATACTGTGAAAATCCGTTTAAATACAAGCAAACAAAAACAATTTCAGCTCGCTTAGTTGAACACATTGAATATCAAACTACAACTATCATTACTCATAAAAGCATGATACAAATTATATTCACCAAGAAATACATATTTTGCAGTATCACCAAACTTTAAAAAATCAAATTAATTGATTTTATATGACCGCGGTACAACACCACTGAACTAGTAAAAGGTATGTAACATGTACTAATGATAACTTTGGCTCCAGTGTTAATTGTTCTCATGATAAACAAGTATTCAATATTATCTACAGTACATTTAAACTAGTAACAACAATATTTTTTTGTATAATAATTGCAATGTCACCACCTTTTGTACGTTTGCTAGATGCAATATATTGATCCATTTAGATCAATATAGTCATAATCATATTTTAGATTGTGATTTCTGCAACGTAGCAGATATCATTCAATGAGTAAACCTCTTACATTCTAATAATAACCCTTTTAAATATTATATCGTTGTTTATCTCTATGTTTATACATTTTATTCATAGTTCTTGGCTATTTTTTTTTTTTTTTTATATATATTTATGGAGCGTCTTTTTGATATCTGATTAGAAGATTTGAATTCACCACTATATTTGTTTTTCATGTAGATCTTCTCGTAAGGCTTTGGTGTGAGATTACTGACTAGATATCGAATCGATGTTTATCTCTATATATTCGACCATTCCGTATGTAATCATTGCTAAGACTTAAATTTTATGATAGTAGAGATGTCAGAAGCACAAGCAAGTTCAATTAGGACCGGTCGTCTTGTAGGATACGTTTTACAGATTCACTTTGCCTGCACAGCGACAAATTTAACGTTTAATGCAGTTACTATATCTTTAGTGATAATCATACGAGTATCATTATTCTCGCCTGGTAATTCAATACGATTAAAGATAATTAAATTTTTCTGTTTTCCTAGCTTAGTTTGAAATTCACGTATTATTTCATCCGGCCTAACAACATTCGTAGAATTAATTGATTGTAATGTCAAAAATATTACATTTAATTTCTAATTTCATTGCAGCACTTTCATGTCTTGTGCTATTTATTAATGCTTAAAACTCATCAAGTTAGTTACTAAGTACACATAGTTTGTTTTCATACCTAGACAACTTTTGGTATATAATCTTAAATGAATCATCTTGGTATTATTCTAATGACTTGAATTTTTTTATTACATCAACAAAAGTATATTAATTTGAAGACATATTTTATAAGTTTATTGACTTTGTTCGTATTAAGCATTGTTCATTAACATGTTAAAAATGACTATTATAAACAATGTTTAATCAAACTACGCCACCTTCGCGTTACTTGGTCAACAGCGAGTATAAATAATTTTTTTTATTATTAATATTAATTAAGTTAATTTCATTATTAAAATAAAAAATTATTGTAGTTTAACATAGTTTTACCTTTCGTGAGTAATTTTTAAATATAATTACATATTATAAAAAGATAAAACCAATTGTCAAAATTATTGAATTGAGTCTACCAAAAACTAAAATGATCGAGTCGTTTATACGACACATAACATCATTCGAATTTCACTCTAGTTTAATTTACTTTAATTGAATCGAAATGTAATTAATAAGGATGGCGTACAAGAGTTCGTGACGAAAGTTTTGCACAGCAAAAAAAATTAGTTACAAAGGGCCTTTGTAAATGCGGTTGATGTAAAAACTGCACTATACGTGTCGCCTATTTATTTTTATAGCATTCAATTGTTCGTTGTTTTTCTCTTTACAATGGAAATTATTTTTTGTTCTCCATTACCGATTATTTTATGATACAAGTTTATCTCAAACGCCGTCATCCGTTTTAAGCCCGGCCGTTGTTCTAACACTATTTCCTATGTCTATGCTTCTCCTGAAGTATATTCACACGCTTGCACGTCTTTATTACATCGAGGCGAGGAGACTGAAAGAGACTCATGAAGAGAGAAAAAGGAAAAAAGTACACTTTGCACAATAATAACAATAATAATAAGACTTACATTTATGTGTGATTATCGTCTAGATAGTTGGTTAGTTTTTTAGTTGTACAGGATTCTATAACATAGAACTAAAATCTTAATGAAAATAATATAATGTACTGTCTTTCACCTAAAAACCAACTATAACACCATCATAACTAATTCAATACAATATCTTGAATTAATTATTAATCGCATTTAAATATATTTAATCCAAATATGATTACCATTGCTTATTCTCTAAAATGTATACTAGAACTCTATTTTTATTATTTATTTATTTATACTAAGTTCGCAAAATGTTATCTTATTATTATGAATGTAATTGTTATTAGTTTACCATAAACATTAAAATATGTTTTACTTCAATGGTACAAATTTAACCCAAAAATTTAATTTATTGGTAAAATGTGAAAACTTCTTTTTATCGCGTCATTATCATTTCAATGGACAAAAATTCAATATACTTTTGGTAAAGAATGCCCCTAACAAACTGTAGATTACTTTGAGTACAAAAGAACAAATAATGTAAAAACTTATCAACTCAAAGAAATTGTTTTTTATTATACTTACAAAGCTTTCATAAAGTTATGTGTCAAATAAAAACAACTAATTTGTTAAGTCAAGTGAATTGCATATCGAAACAAAATTACGTGAGTTTTTAAAATTTAAAGTTTTATATTTTGATGTGTAATAGTAATTATGTTATAGTGGAATAATAACTTAACAAAAATTGTCAAACGATTGCAATATTAAAGGAACTATTGATTATCGATGATTTTGTTTAAAAAAAGGATCTTTAGAAAATATTATTTATATGTAGTGTATAATAACATAAGATATTAATATATACCACACTCAGGAAAAAGCAATTAAAACTTTTATTTGATTGCATTCCAAAACCGTGAAACTTTATTGTAAAACTCCGGAACAAATTATTATTTCATTATCCCCATAGTAATGAATGATGTATTTAAAAGCTCTGTCAACATAAAATAAACATTTGAGTTTCTTGCCAACAAATATCCCGTTAAAACCTTTTTGTTTCTATTTTTTTTTTTCATTACAGTCACCTTGTATGATTGTGCATTATTATTAACGAACTCTTCTCAAATAAAGGATTCATATTAAATAAACGATTTTCTTAAACCATTATTGACAAATTCAAACTTTGAACGATAAAAATAAATTATTTTAATTATGAAAAAAAAAGTTTTCTCTTTTCTGTTATTATTTTTTTTTTTTTTTTGTGAAAAAAATAATATTTTTTGCACGAAATAACTATTTGATTGACATCTATGTACTCTATTAATCTCGCGCTGTCAAAAAAATTTAAATATGACATGTAGTATTTAAATAATCATGTATTGATACGATAATGACATAACAGTATATACCAACTAAATTACTGATTTTTAGTTTATTGCTCGGAAAACCGTTATCATTCAAAAAACACCTTAATTCAAAAAGAAATATACTGAAAGAAGTGCTATTATTATAACAATTATTTTAATAAGTCTTTTTGTATTTATCATCGAGTTAATAATATAATATATTTATTACCAATAATATACAAATACATTCCGTGAATTTAATTTATTTAATATTTGACTATTTTAAATAATATACGATTTTTAATTATTGATATTTCAGTTATAATAGTAAAAAACAGTTTTCACTATAGTAAATATCCCGAGAAAAAAATGCCTTATAATTTTTTTTTATCAGTGCAATCGTTATTTTAAATAATTCAGTTTAAAGTATAACTCTACTTAAGTATGCCTGTGATATTTTACACTTATTATGCTACACGAAAGTCAATTTTTATTAATATTTTAAGTTATGTAATTTGATGTGATAATTGAAATGATAATATGAATTTTTTAACATGCATATTACACATTTTACTAACAAATGAACTCGTACATTTTCGGTGTTCAATAGTAGACGACGATGCATGAAAATAGGAAAGATTTTGCCTAATCTATTGGGTGTCATCAAGCGATCATAATAATATTATTACTTCTTTGAGTTGACCAAGTGGAGAATGTGAAACGGAAGCGAAGAATTGGTAAACGCTTCGGAAATCCCAAGAGGCAGAAAACGTTTTGGCTGAAGCGATCGGATGATTGTCTACGTCCGGTCTCGAAGACGGTGTTGTACTGAAATAAGCTTTGTGTAATATCAATACATATCCACAAAAAAATGACCATTGGTAGGCAAATATTTTGTTACAACCTTCCGTTTTAGATTGGATATCAAACAAGAGTTTAGTCATACGCCATTATCATAATTTACAACTGACATTTTTTACACTACCGCAATTTAACGAGGTTATGAAACTATAGAAAACTTTTAAACAACTGTGTAAAATATTTTTGTCCTCTTTTTTAATCGTTTAATATATTTATTGAAATACGACGAAATGATTCGAATAAAAATATCGTAATCAAAATATGTGTTAACTGAACATTGTGCGTTTTTAATGATTTTAGACTAATCGAAAGAAACAGAAAAACGTATGCAGTTTTACATCAAAACATTAATTGTTGATGTCGTCGAAACAAATGTATTTTTTCGTTTTTTAATACGCAAACAAATGATATGAATGATAGTTGAAATATTCAGTTAATATTTTAATTAATTTTATGATTGTATACCAAAGATCGTTACCATAATTTTTTATGATCCAGGGAAAATATCTAAACGGTAATAATTCTTAATTTGATTTGAACCGTATCACTTCCGGCTCGGTATGTCGAGCTCAGTAAAAACGATAATAACGATTTTAGTAACATTCTATAATGTACACAATATTGTTATACTATTCGAGTTTTTGTTATTTTTTCTCCGTGACTGTCAATCATCATTAAAATGTATACGCTTTGTTTACGGTTGTTTTACTCATTTTTACGGTGTCCAACGAGGTCGGGTGAAAAAATACCATTATCACGTTGTATTCGGTTCGTTCCGATTGACAGCTCCTGTAAAACGAACCCATATCATATGCACAATAATTTTTTAAGCACAGGCTGTACATAATCATTTTAGCCAAGAGATTTATTTAAACTCGGTTTATAAAACATCACAGATTATTTGTAAAATGACCACATTATGCCTGTACTATCTATACTCTTAAATGTTCTCACTAATAATACACGTGTATTAAATATGTATGTACTTTTAATAGATATTTTTTATAATACCTAAAGTATAATGTAATGTAATAAATCGAAATAAAATGACACGTTACGTTTTAACTTAATGTAATAAAAAGAAAAAAGAAGTCAATTACAATATGCCATCATTTTAAACCCATAAGTTTGTCAACAATGCTTAAACTGATAACTGTTTTTATTAAACCGTGTTTTATAGTAATACATAAATTATTATGCACTACACGGCTAGTAAATAAAACAATTAGCACGGAACGTTTTATTAAACATTGCCGTCTTGCGTAAAAAATGATTAGCTACTAAAAATTTTCAACCTAATTGAAATAAACCAAAAATGTTGACTTGAAAATCAAAATCTACTGTGTATACATGTTGATCGGTTCTTCAAAAACCACTCGATTACTCGCAAAATAAATATTATGTCGGAAAAACAATTTTTGGTTACATATAATTATTGATTTATCGAATAGTAATTATTTTTTTAAATCGTCCCTTGCATCTTAAAGGGGTGTCAATTTAATTTTTTTAATGACTGTACGAATTTAATTTACAAACAAAATAGAAAATCGTGTAATTAAGAAAATGACCGGTCGATAACAACTTTTGGACCAGTACAGGAAGAAGAATACGGCCGGGAAATGACTAGTGATAATTTTTATCACTAGTCATATGAGAAGTATGTGCTGCTATTTTAGCAGCACATACTTCTCACCGATTACTTTAAATTGTTAATAACTTCTGAATTACTGGCCCAAAAGTTGTTATGGATCGGTCATTTTTTTAATTAGATTATTCTATAAACAAGTGAAGTATTTATGTTGCCATTTAAAAAAATGAAGTTGACGCCTCCAAGTTGTAGGAGATGGTTATATGTAACCAAAAAAATTCAAAAATCATTTTTCCGATAATTTATTAATTTTGCGATTAATCGAGTGGCTTATGATAAACCGATACGCATAACAATGTATTGTTATGAATTTTAGCTATTTACTACTGATTTTAAACGGCAATTTTATATTAATAAAATCAAACGGTTATTGTTCATATGACGTTAGTATCACGTTTGTTTTAATTTATATATATAATTTATGGATTATTATTATTATTCAGTATTTGAGGGAACTTTTATGGAACTGTCCGCTCGCTATGCCATTGTATTGGGCGTTAGGTGCTCCCTTAAATTGGTCTTTATATCAAGTTAATCGCGGCTATATATTTTCATTATTATCTTTCAATAGTAAATCATTTTAACCTTTATGTAACAAGCACTTCCAAACATGTGCAACTCACATAAATATAACCACGTCCGACTTTCAAAATTTCAACTTTATAAGATAATTTTGCGGGTAGATATAACTAGAAATGTACACGATTGAAATACAAAATATCGATTTTAAATTAATATATTCGTTAGCGATAAATATTTCATGTACAGTAAAACACGTAACAATTAACGCGATGACACAAAGAAGATAAAAAAAAAAATCAGATGATACGACAGCGACGAAAAAAACTGCGAGTCAAACATAAATCGTATACGCCAATTGATTTCGACAAGACGGCCTTGATAATATTATTTGTCTCGTACGCACACAATATGATGTTTTGATTGGGAATAAAAAAATCGTCGCGTTATTCGGACGATATTCAAAGTGCGAATAGAAAACGTGTCGTCTGAGGACAGTAAAAGTGTCGACCGCAAAACGATTTTGGTATCTCCGAGATTTTCATTAGTTATGATATTCGTTTGTCATATTATTAGGTTTGCGAAAGGTTTAGAGGTGGTGATCGGACGTAAGATAATATGAAAACAGACGGAGAGAACGTCTGAATGATCTGTTAGTATGTGCAACGTACGCGACGAGGAGGAAATTCGAGTACGACATACCGGAATCAAACTTCCCAGGCGATATCGCCCTTTCGGGGAGGGCGAGTAAAGGCAACCGTATGCTCGACGTTTGCTGCTATTACACGCAATATACGCTCGTCCGTTGATTTATATCATCGTGAATTATTGCTAATAAGTATTACAACGACACGACTACGTCTGATCCGGAATATCAGTACGCATTTTCCTAATGTTGCACTACTGCCGTCGTCGTTGATATTATACACGACCGGTGCAATATTTCATTTCGGGTTTTTTTATTAAGATTTCGTCCCGTTTCACTTCTGGCCGACGTCAGAAACGGTATCGGCCGTTTTAACAGCGACAATCTTTCCGGACGCCAATGGCTTTTAAACCGATAATTAAAACCATCGGCACTGAAGTTCCGTTGTCGTTGAACAATAACGGGCATATGATTTTTTGTTACTTTCGATTTGAAACTGTCGTGTAACTGGTTTTGCGCAGTAATTTAACGTTCTTTGTGTTGGAACACTTCAACTCCTTCGGTGACTTAATATTAATGGCGCTGGCAAATGGTAATTGTTAATCAAATAGATGGGTTTCCAGAGCAGTTAGAATTCAATTATTTGATAATTTATGAGCAGTCGGTTGAACATCGCTATTATAATGATACCACGTCAAAGTGTTGAACTTAAACGTTTACTATGTTAAAACGGTGGCGTCGTCGAACGGCGCAAAAACTATAATACGGCGACGGCACAAGAAAACTTTCCGCTAGGACGACAAATTATTCGACGGCAGTCCGAGTGTCAGAGTCATACGAACACACACACACACACACACACACATACTCGTACACCGTTACGGCGTTAACGATAACACGAAAGAAGAGCGGCGTGGTAGGGTGGGGGGAGGGGCATAATATATATTATTACGGGTCTTAACTGGGCATAAATTGTGTGTCTCTAGATAAAAGGGACGACGCGAACGCTCGCTGTTTATTGCACTTACGGTCATGGTATCCCGCTGTACCTATCCAATGCGGCTGTGCCGATGTCCACGTGGTGCCCCGTGACCTCTGGGAGACGCAACCGTCTCGAATGGCGGAAAACCGGCAGCGAACAAATCACCGGAGCGCTTACAAATGATTGCCGATGACAACGGCCGTTGTGTTGTAGGAACTTGACAATGCCGTCCCGCGTAGCCGAGGAAGCTTCGCCGATCCAACAGGACTTTGGCGACGACAACGGAGTCAGTGCAAGGAAGACGACCCGGACGGACGGGGACCGACCGGCAGACGACACGATTTATGCATACGAATTAAAAGTGGTGGGTAATGGCGGTAATTTATGTGGCGTTTCGGCTTTGTGATTATAATTTATATGTTTGCCCGGCACTTCGTAATGAAACTTGCTTTTGATTTATACTTCGTTATTATATTAATGCGTCCGCTCGTACGCGCCGCCTCCGCTGTCTTTCGACATGCACATTCGAAATCTTCCGCTGCCACTCTGACCCAAAGCCAAACGTACAACCCTTTTTTCCACACTTAACAATCACACCCGCAGTAGTCACAATCACATGACCCACTTCCCCTTCCCCCCCACCGTTCGACACATACACTTTTTATCGGTGCGAATGCGCCCGCACTTGTGTACACACACTAATTAGATTTAACGCTTTTAGATTGCAACTCGTTTGTCGTTTTATTAGAGAATTCCAGTAACATTATCTTTGATCCTCCGCATTAATTTGTCGTTTAGGTTATTTTTAAAGTAACTTTTAACGAAAATATATGCTTTTTACAGATTCTTAATTAATTCAAAGAAAACGAAATACGAATATGAAATATGAACATGGTAAAAAGTTTTTGATAAAAGAAAAATATACCACTAAAACGATTGATGTTCAAGTCAAAACTGCTGAAAAATTTTTTTATTTAAATTTGCATCTCGTACACAGTAAGAAACACACGCAAATGAATCACAAAGGCAACGATAAACTATACCTTGATTTCATTTATTTTTAAACTAATAATCAAAAAACAGTAATTTCAATGTAATACTTATACTTTATAATTTTAGCAAAAATTTGAATTTATAATATTGGAGGGGATGACTAAAAAATGTTTTAAAGTTT